GTAAGTAGATTCCTTGTACAACAGCTTGCATGAGAATTATTTGTTCTTGTTTGCAAATACGAACTAACATCTCAAACCAGTACTCAAAACCTTCAGTTTCAAAATAATGGAGCCAAAGCGAAAAATCTATAGCATGTTCACATAGTTGGAGAGGAATCTAATGAAATACCTGGAACAAAGTGAGTTGAGCTGAGAGAGTTGTTGCCTCAGTTTGAAGGGTCTGAACTTTTCTCTCCAGCTCAGATATATAACGTGCCTTTCTCTCTTTCGATCGAGCTGCAGATTGCCGGTTGGCCAAAATCCTTGCGTGATATTACATACTTGTTAGTTGATTGGAGTATAAATTCAAAGGGTGTTGGGAGATATAACTAACAGATTTGGCCATATAGAAAACAGTATATCTAAAATTCGAATATACTAATTCTAGCAGAGTTGAAGAAAACAATTTTAAGTTAAATCAAATGAGTTATTATTACCTCCATTTACCTAAGATAGGCTTGGAGGGGATATAACACAAAATTTAAATGAAAAACACGATAAACGTAACTGGGAATGTGATATCTTTTGTTATTCTTCCTCTCTTGCCCTTGCATTAACTTTTAGCAATCCAACTAATGAAACAAAGAGATACAAGTAATGAATTGGTGGTACTTTGATCTATCAGTGTGTAGTTAATACTATCCAAAAGGAAAGAAGCCTATAATCTGTGAAGGACAAAAAGGCAAATAAACATATCTTAGCGGACGTAGCTAGTACTATATGTGACTGTGATTTCAAAAAATAGAAGGCAGATCAAATAAAAGTTACTGCCACTAAATGTTTTTTTTTTTTTTTTTTTTTCCATATTACAGATAAGTTATGAAAAGGTTCTTGCATTGTAAGTTAAGTGTGTTGTTTTTACAACTTAGTTTTTCTACTCTCCAAAATTTAGAGGATTTTCAGTAATTTGAAACGAGAGCATCCTAAAACCAAACAATAATCGAATACTTAGAACAAATTTCCAAATAATCATTCAAGAGCAAAGATTCTTTCTCCTGATAATTAGAAAGAGACCTCCAATAAACTATGCCGTCTTTGTTATCACTAAATCTCATACGCAATTCAAATAACTAACACCACCCATTCCAGCCGCAATAACAACACAAACTCATACCTAACTGTCATGTCCCAAAATTATGTGTTTACATAAAAAAATTCAATGAATATTCCCCACCATTGAGCAATGTTGAAGGGGAATTAACATATACCAAAATGCTCTGTACTGAGACAACGCATACCCAGTAAGATCTAACCAGAAAAGAAGAAAATTCTATCACTATCTATTATCTAATAGAAACTGATAACAAACATACAGTTATCCACTTTGATGAAAAACTACATAATGCTAATGCTTTAAAAGCTTCTTTATTTATTTAACTATTTGTTATGTGACTGAACTATAGATCAATCGAGCTCCAACTTTATGCAAGTCTATCACACTGACATAAAGCAATCAATTTGAGGCCCCATCCTTCAATTTCTTAATTCTTCTTTATAACTCAGTAAGAAAACACATATCCAAATAAAGATTAGACTTAAAGCCTAAATCAGTCAACCTCAAGGATTCACAAAGATCCATGTCAAGTCCACTATAAATTTAAATCAATAACTCAACACAACTAAAATCCACACGAAATTTACATCAAACTATGTATAACCAACAACTAACACTTGAATAAGCCAACAAAAAAGTATGATAACAAACTGTGTTAAAAAGAAAATACCTCTTGGCGCGCTTGGGATCGATAGTCCACAGCTCAGCCAGCTTATCCGGCGCCATAGCCTTCTTAGCTTCGATACTACTCTCATTGAACAGCAAGCCCGAGCTATCCACCGAGTTGCTATGCCTATGCCTAGGCCTGGACACACTTCCTCCGCCGCAGCCACCACCCTTCTCCCCCTCCTCCGCCGCCCCGCCGCCAGCATTATCGAAAACAGAGTCTCCGATTCCAGATCCGGAGGCTCCGCCGCCGCCAGCGAGCTTCTCCATATCCATGTAGGTCGAGAACAGATCGTCCTCGGATCCCATCTCCTCGAAACTCCCCGCCGGCGCGTCGAACGGGTCCGACGCCAGATCCAAATCCTCCGGCAGCCGGAAGTTCACCTCCGAGTGGGCCCTCCGGTGGTGCGCGGGCCTCACAGCGCCGGAAAACGGCGGCATTTGGTTCATCGAGTGCTTGGAGTTTGGATCTTGCATAGTAATAAACCGTTCCTCTGAACTTGCGGCCGAGGCAGCGGTTGACAAAATTGGGGGGGTTCTTGAACTCTTGCGGCTGCTCGAGGAGTTGAGGACGGCGGTGGGTAACTGTATCGGGTTCGGGTCGCCTTGGGCCAAGTTGACGGGGAAAAAGGGAAGAAAAAGTGCAGTGTGTGTGTGTTTTCTACTGTGAGAAAATGGGGGTTGAAGATGAATGAACGTGGAGCTCTTGGGTGGACTTTATTTTTATTTTTATTTAATTTTATTTGGTATTTGGGGGTGAGGGTGCAATTATTTCATGGTGTGGGGGGCATGCAGGAGATCAGGGCCCCTGACAAGAAAGGCATTTTCCATACTACTTTCATGTTATGTGTATGGGCCGTGGTATACAGATTGGAGACCAAAGATTGGGTATCCATCCTTGTATTTTCTTTGGAATAATGGATATAGTTTTGTGTGTGAATGAATATTGTGTTTGACAAAGTTTTAACTGAAGCCTGTATTTCAATAATCTCTTTGTTCTCTCTGCTCGTGATAAACGTAGCCCAAGTTTCGTCGCTGGTTTTATTCTTCTCTCCCGTCATTTTGCCTTCCTCGGCACCGACGAAGTTCAGACCAGTGGTCGCCCTTGACCGCTTGGCCCGTCCCTAACGTCGAGTGTCTCTAATTTCTCTGCAAATTTGTGATTGGGGGATGCGATTGCGGTGGAGCCTCTCGATTGGAGACATATGGTCCTCCCTCGGTTGCCGGCGGGTCCTCGATTGGCCGGTTTGCCCTTGTCGGGGCTTGGGCTTCGTTGTTTCAGGTGGGACGAGCCTGGGGTTGGCTTCCTCGTTTCTGGTGGGGCTCCCGATGGGGATTGGGCTCTGATCGCCGACAGATAGTGGTTCAGTGGTGGGTTGGGCTCCTGGTGGGGCTCGGGCTCTGATCGTCGACAGTCTGCGGTGGGTTGGGATACGAGGGGTTCAACGGGCGGGGCGGGACTCTGGCGACTGCGACATCTCGCGTCGGGGAAGTCGGAGTTGTGGAACCGAGCAGATCTCACCCCCGGTTCTCTGGTGTTTGGGACGGCGGGGTTCCGGATATCCAGAGCTTAACTAGTGGTGTTAGATGAGTTTGGGTAGTGATGGTGTGGGGAGCTGACTCGTTGTTCTCTCGGTCGGAGGTGGGTCGATTTGGAATGAGTTTGGGCTCGGGTTCGACTTCTGTATAGGCGATCACGCAGTTTCGGTAGCGGTTCCTCGGGCATGGACTCTTCATGGATCGATTGTTACTCCGCTGGTTTGGGCTTGTTTGGTTGGCTGGGGAAGGGACTACTCTACATAATTATAGTATTCAGTCTTCTTTTATCTTGAGTCTGTGTTTGTGATGTTTTTTGGTCTTATTTTTTTTGTTTGGGCTGTTGGCCCCTGTGAACCTGATTGTGTGCGGGTATTATCGTAATGTTTGTTTAGGATTCGTATTTTTGATTTGGACCGTTGGCCCCTGTGAGCCCGTGTGAGAGCGGGTTTTACTCCGTTGGGGGTCGTTTCACATTACTTTGTTGGGGGTCGTCTTAGTTGGGTCTTTGTGTTGTGTTGTTTTGAGTTTATATTCTAGCGTTGCTAGGCTGACTCTAAGCGGTCTTCTGACCTGTCCTCTCAGTTTTTCAGCTGTCGGTTGTACTATCCATCTAGGGGTTGTATACTTTGCACATTTGTGCGTTTTAATTTATAATATTCTCTATTGTTTAAAAGTTGGTTGATAAGTCAAACTTATAAGTTAATTTTAAACTGATAACTAATAGTTGATTATTGAAAATTAATTGATATAAGAAATTATTTTGATAACATTAGATATTAAGTTAATCCATACAAAAATCTCAATAGATGTTTGAAACGCTACCTCAACAATCATTTAAAATAAACTCGATCTTTTTTTTTTAAAAAAAAAAAAATTCATTCTAACAAGCGAGAGGTATAGCCCCCGGGGCATGTAGTCCAGCGGTTTCCACTGGAGGGTGAAACTCCTGTTGAAGGTGGAGGTCGGGGGATCGAACCCGACTATCGTTGGGGAAATGGAGTTGGGGCATGCCATTTCCTCCTGGGTGGATTAGTCCCACCCCTTTGGGTGTGGATCCTGAGCCCGAGCGAGCCCGTAGCTGTGGTTAGCCGACCACCGGTTGGTGAGGTCCTCTGAACGTAGGGACATAGGGTCGGGTGAGGCCCCGAAGTGAATGTGGGGATACCATCCAGACAGAAAAAAAAATAAAAAAAAAATAAAAATAAAACAAGCGAGAGGTATTTGAATACATGAAATTCATAATCTAATTAGGTAAGTTATAAGTTAACTCGTGGTATTTACCAAACACATTTATATTCATTTTTTTATTTAAATTATTTTATGTTATTATTCTCAACCAACTTTGACTATTAATGCTAAAAACAACTTTAAGATGCTAAATTGACATTATATGTAATGTTTAAGCATGAATCACATTGCTCGCATTAAATGGATAGGCTGAAAAACTAAAACTTTGCCTATTGAGAGTTAAGTACAATGTTAATTTTTTTATTTTTTTTTTTAAAAAAAAAAGATACAAAAAGTTGGGCATTCAACATAAAATAGAGATTTATTTGGGTCATATCAAAAGGCTTATACCAATTTCACAAATTTATAAATATGATGCATTAGTCACCCCAGTCGAATAGATGATGACATTGAGGGTACCAAAAGATATATAATAATTTGACTAATGCATCATGTTTGATCAATTTGTTAAATTATTATATCTCTTTAGGTTGATCCAAATAAATGTCTTTTTTTTAACAAAATCCAATTTAGTGTAATATAATTACCTATACTAATTTATGAAATCAATATGTAATACAATTATCTATATTAATTTATTAAAAACATTATATAAAGTTTAAATTGTATAAAATTATATAAAAATGTCTATTTAAATTAATACACGACTGTGTGGTGCACATAACTGATAATAAATTAAATTATATTCGTTTCAAAATATTTATCATTTCAAAAAAATTTATTCAGAAATTCGATTTAACTATAATGTGATTCCATAAAATAGTTATTTTGGTAAAAATATTATCATATATTTAACAATCTATGTGAATAATAAGTATAAATATAAAATATATATTGTTCCATTACTTAAAATAATTTTTTTGTATAAACTATTCAAATAAAAAAAATTAAGTAGTTGAGTAATTTATTAAACTATAAATAATTGACTATTTCGTTTACATCAAAGTTAGTATTGACCATAAGTTATTGAGTAATTTATTAAACTATAAATAATTGACTATATTGTTTACGTCGAATTTAATATTGACCAGTAAATTATGAATAATTATTTTTTATTTTAAATTTTAAATAAAAAACTTTTTATTTTTTTAATATATTATATACTAAATTTAAACCATGCAACTAATAAAGGTAGTAACTGCAAGTTTTGTCAATATATTGGCCTTGTTTGGCGATCAACGGATAGCAGATAGCGGATAGCGGATTATATATCAGTGGATTATATTAGCTGATTTGACCAGCGGATTGTATTAGTGGTTTTTAAATAAGTGTTTGGTAAATAGCTGAAAGCTTATAACTGTTTGACATTGCAAAATGACCAATAAAGACATTTTATTAGTTAGGGTGTATTCTTTTAATAATAATAATATATTAAAACATTTAATATTCTTTAGTTGGTAATTTATATATATATTATTATTTTTTTAAATTTACTAACACTTGATGAAGAAGTTATGAATTTTACATTTTTCTAGATAAATTAATCATATAGATGACATATTATTATTTATTAGCTCTATAAACCAATGTAGATTGTAAAATAAATAAGACAAATTAAAAAGTTCTAAGTAAAACCTCTCAATTGTGAATCCTCTATCCCAAAAAGCTGTTCTATTGAGCTTTTTTTAAATTAGAGTTTTGGGCCCAAAAAGTTTATCAAATAAGCTATTTACCAAACAAGTTCAATAGCGGATTTGGCGGGTCAAACCTCTCAATTAAGTCCAATCCGCAAATTTATCTTGAATCCGCTATCTACCAAACGGGGCCATTATATTCTAAATTTAAATCATGCAACTAATAACGGTAATAGCCGCAATATTTGACCATAATGATTCTGTACATTAACTTAGGTGGGATTTTTTGAATTTTTGTCAAAAATATTATTCAATATAGTAAATACTTCAGACGTGAGACTATTTTTTTTTTTGGCTGATTTTTAATTGATATTTCAAGTAAATATCATTACCTTTTTATATATTAATAGATAACAATATTCAAGTGGGTTAAATCCAGGTTATCCGGTCACATTTCTTCTTAGAGTGGGCATAAAACAGGGGTAGTTTATATATATAGAAATAAAAAAAAAATAACTGGACAAAAATAAAAAGAAAAAAAAAATTGTGGACAAAAATAAAAAGCACGTATTCTCATAATACGTTTTTTTAATTATTTTTTTTTAAAAAACGTATTATGGTAATACGTTTTAAAATTATATTTTTAAAATATTTTTTTTAAATAATCGAAAAATGTATTTCAATAATACGTTTTATAAAAAAAATTAATAAATAAAACGTATTTTGATAATACGTTTAATAAATAATTAAGAAAGTTTAATAAATAATTAAGAAATAAAACGTAAAATATTTATAAAATGTATTTTGATAATACGTTTTATATATTAAAATTAATGAAAAAAAATTAATGTGTAGTATGTATTTTGTGTTTTGGGTTCGTTTGGGCTCGTCTGAACTCGGAATTGAGTTTCGTTTTTTCCTATACGTAGCTGACGAACCCCTCTATTCAATGATACTTGCATGACCAAATTATTCTTGAAATCATATTCTCCCAAAACTTTTGACCGATACATTAAACGTTTTTCGCGCGACTTTTCATTTTGGGCCCGTTCGTACTCGTCCAAGCTCGAAATTGATTTCTGCTTCTTCCTATATGTCGTCAAGGAACCATTCTACACAACCATGATTGCCTGGTCTACTTTCGGGCTAAATCTATTTTTCACAGGCTAAATAATTAACAAGTCACCAATTATATAAATAGATGGTCCATAGAGGAGTTGTTAATAGGTGATTTGTTAATTATTTAGTCCTGTGAGGAATAGATTTAACCCAAAAATTTACTGGATAATCATGGTTGTGTAGGCGGGTTCGTTGGCGACATATAGGAAGAAACGGA